ATGGTCCAATAAACGGTAGGCATATTTTGCCTTCTAAGTAAAGTTCGCGGGGATACTGATTATTACTGATTATTTTTACAGACGTTCTATCGAAGCGAAAAAATGGCTTTTACTGTGATTTTTTGTTAGTGAAACGTTGTGTTCCCAAAAAGTACTTTAAAGTGTATATGTAAATAAGTTACCCGGGCAATTGATTTACATCAGCCAATCAGACGAATGTCCTCCTATGAGATGATGCTAGGGTCATATTTATAACCGTATCTATATGATGTTTTTTTTTTAATAATTGTGATTATCACAGCTTCTTTTATAAAACAAACCAAAATACAAATTACTCAATGAATATTGTAAGAGACAATAAGAGACAATAACTGAACGTGATTATACGTAATTATAATTGAAACAACTAAATCGGTAAGAGATTGGCTAAGTTGACTAAGTCGACAATCCATTAATCGATTATCAGTAGGGATGTAAATTTTCTATAATTTTTGTAATTTTACGTAATTTTGAGTAAGTTTCCGTAAATTAGTTTTTCATGTATTGGGGGTTTCAGAATTAATGATTCGACGTCTGATGCAGATAAAATAAGTGACGTATTTACAAATCCTTTTTTTTCTAAAGTATGCACCTATTTTCATAATCGCTTAACAATGAATGTTTATCAAAAAAAAGCTAATTTTATCATCGGCTACGCTTATTTATTTTTCTGATTCGAAATTCTAAAAAAGAAAGTAGGATCTTTTAAACTTTCACTTAATTTGAAAAAAGTTAATTCTGAAACCCCCCAATTTGTAATTTTGAATACATGTTATTAATTTTTGGGATCGAATTTTGATGATTTGAATTCGGATCATACGTATTTATTGCGGTTTGCATAATTTTGTGACCCCTATGATTATTTTTTTATGATTAAATGATTAAATGATTGTGATTGCGATCATGATTGCTAAAGTCAGCCAATTTATCATGAATCTGAGTTTGTGTCAAGCTCAGATTTATGATAAATTGGCCGGCTTTAGCAATCGTGATCGCAATCACAATCATTTAATCATTTAGGGTGCTCTCAAGCATCTTTCTGAGTGTGATTTGATAGTGATTGAGATGACGCACAATCATTACAATCAATCTATAAAATATTGCGATCAATTATTGGGTGAATGTTTTTTATATTGCGATCAATTATTATGTCTTCAACAAACAATAAAAAAAAAAGAGCAACCGCTCAGCAAACAAAAAGAATTTTACTATTGCTGACAACTTCGAATACACCTGTTCCAACAACTTCAAGTGTATCTGTTACTTCTTCAGCTATCCCAAATGTTCCTATAGCCTCTTCGGCTACTCATAATACTTCTATTACTCCTTTTGCGGATTTTACCAATCTTCATAAGTTGTTACAATAATATTATCCTTCTGCACAATTATTTAATCCTTTAATTTTAAATAAAACCAATACTGAATATGAAGAGGTATAAATTGAATTTTTGTAAAAAAATTTGTAAATTTTTTATTAAAAATTTAAGAAATTTTTTTTTTAGATATCTCTTTTAAAGCTACCCAATGATAATAATCAACCTCCTATTATTAATACTACTGCTAATAGTAGTCAAGAAAATGTACAAATTGATGAAATGATAAATATATCTAATACTAGTATTACTTTAGAAAGTAAAACAAATAATCAATGGACATTATTTGAAATTAGAATGTTAATTGATGAAGTTGGTAAAAATCAACAAGCACTACAACAAGACAGAGATCCATGGGAAAAAGGCTGTATTTGGGATCAAATTATTTCAAATATTCAAGATTCTACTTCGAGTACAGTTTTAAAAAAGCATTCAAAACTTCATTTCAACAAAAGTGGGATTCTCTTCACCAAAAGTATCATAATATAAAAGATACAATTAAAAATACTAATGAGGAGGCAATACAAAATAATTGGGAATTCTTTAAGGATATGGATAAATATTTAAAAGCTGATCCAAGTATTGAAGCACCAATTACAAGTGATTCAATAAATAGAATTAAATGTAAAGAAAAGGATGATACTAATGACTTTGAAGATGAAGAAGTAATATTTATATTTATTTATTTGTTTATTGTTATTTATTTATTTATTGTTATTTATTTATTTGTTTATAATTATTTATTTTTATTAATATAGCCTAATATTAAAAGACGAAAAAGTATTTGTAATAGTAATGAGAAAGGATATTTTGAGGATGTTCAAAATCTTATTAAAGAACAAACGAATACTATTGTAAAAACAATAAAAGAGCAATATTCACATACTTGTGAAATTCAACAACAACAACATGAAGAACAGATCGATGTTTTTAAACAATTCTTAAATAAATTTTAAATATAATGTATTATTTAATATATTTATATTATTGTTTTTAAATATCTGCAATTTGTATTATTTGTGCATTATTAAATAATTAATAAAGATTTATAAGAATATTTGCTAAATACTCTCTTTTCTGCATACCTGCCATATTGTCTCTTTCTTCATTAACTATAATTTCTCCATCCTCATTATCATTATTAATATCTTCATTAGTATCATATTCTTCATCTAATATATTACTATTATCAATACAAATATTATGTAAAATATAGCAAGCATGAATAATTCTAACTATTTGTTCCAAATCTGTACAATATATCCCATTTAAAATTCTCTACTGTTTTTTCAAATAACCAAATGCTTGTTCAACAATCATCCACTTTGAAGATAAAACTTTATTAAATCATCATTCTTTATAAGTTAATCTTTCATAATCAGAATATGGTTTTATTAGATAAGTTCTAAGAGAGTACACTGAATCTGCAATTATATAAGTGCCATCTGGGACTCATTGTTTAGAATTATGAAAAATTTCATAGTATAAAGAAGAGAGATAAAATACTCATGCATTATGTACACTCCCTTAAAAAATTTTAATTAATATAAGTATACAGTATTAAAAAAAAAAATTAAAAAATAAAATTTTATTAACCTGCTTCACCAATATGTACATATGTAAAATGTCCCAAATAATCTACAACACCAAGTAGATTAATTGAATGAAAATTCTTTCAATTTACAAATCGTGCACCATTTTTGTAAGGAGGATAAATGGGAATATGGATCCATCCATCACACCAATAACATTAGGTAAATTATATTCTAAACCTGATATTTCATATTCAAATCCTCGTGTTATAGTTGCTAACTTTATTCCTTGTGGCCACACAATTCTTTCTCGCTCCAAATCTAATAAAGCCTCCAAGAAGCGATCTGTAAAATGACATACAGACCCTTGACTTACACCAAGTGTTTGCTCTAAGACACGTATACTTGTTCCATTAGCAAATCACCATAATACAATTGCAATTTGTTTCCAAGCAGGTGTTGCATTAGGAGCTTCACAGTTAAAAGCAGGATGGGTTTTCAATTGATTGACAATAGTATTAAAAGTAACAAGGGTAATACAAAAGTGTTGTCAAAAAGAATTATACCCTCCATCATCAGTTAAGTGTGGAAAAACGTCAGTCCAGAATCCCCCAGTTTTGGGTCTTCATTGACACTGAGCCTCACATTAGGTAAAGAAAGTGCAATTGGAATAGTCGCATTAGTTATCATATGATTATAGGTAATAAGACAGAAAGTATCAGCTATTTTTTTTTGAGTTTCTTGATATTTTTTATTTAAAGTAAAAGTTTCTAGTACGAAGAGTAAAAAGATAATTTGTTGACGGCAACGAATATCCATATTTGTTAGAAGTGTATTTAGTGCAAAGTATAATGATTCGATTGTAAAAAAAAAAAAAAAAAGGTTCGATCATAAAAAAAAATAATGGTTCGATCGTAAAAAATAATGATGGTTTGATCGATCGTAAAAAAATAATGATTTGATCGTAAAGTGCTTGAATAACCTCACTCTATGATAAATTTTGGCCAATCAGCGCAGCTCTATAAAGAAAAAAGATGGTCACCAACCATCTTTTTTTTTGACTGTAGTGATAAACTCTCTTGACCGGCTGAGCTAATTTTTATTAATTAAAATTTATACACCGATCTATTGATTAAGGCGCTTGAGAGCACCCTTAATCATAAAAAAAAATTAATCATAGGGGTCACAAAATTATGCAAACCGCAATAAATCAAATGATGCATGTAGCACAACCCTGATTATTAAAATATTTAATACTTTTAATGATACACATGTTTATAATGAGTTCAATAAAAATAATAGTAGAAACAATTTTCTCAGTACCTTTTCTAAATTTAAGATTTATATTATGTTTTTTTTAATGGTACACTCAGCTTGAAAAAATAGTAACTTTGTCGGTTAAACCAGTCAAAAGGTAAGACACAATTCTAAGTGAAAGAAAAAAAAATTTGTCATATATTTTAATAAAATCGATTATTGATTATTTGTAGAATAGCTTCTCGTAATTCGATAATTTCTTTTAAATTTTCATCTTTATCATCAGGGTCGCATGTTATACGATTATTTGTATTTCCAACCGAGTTTTGATTTGATATTCGGATTATTTTAGAAGGAGTCCAATCAAATATAAACATCTTTTCTCGTTTACTTAAATTAGAAAATAAAGTTAAAGATATGATAAATATTGTGAATTCTGGATAATTTGAAACCAAGGGAATAAGAAGTTTGTTTTCATTAGATAAAAAACGAAGCATTGCTAAACGTGCAGAGAATACAAAGGCGGGAACTAAAATAATTGGGGATGTTAAAGTAATCCAATAACCAAAACTAGAATGATGAAATTTTAATGATGTTGATAAGAATACTAGGAGCAATTGAACTATATAAAGTGGTTTAGCAAAACTAGTACCAGAAGTATCAACTGTAGTATTCGCAAAAGCGAAATGTACTAAGATTAAGGCAACTATTTGTTGCCCATTTGTTACAAGATCAATAGTGATGAAAATGTAAGTCATTAAGCATAAAATAATTAGTGTTAAGTGAAATTGAACTTTACATAAAAAGTTTGGTTTCAGGAAAACTAAATACATGGTGTGCATTTTTCGTTTAAGTTTAAACTATACCAGGAATAAATATGTTTTCCAATCCTTCAAATTTTATTTTAGCTGCTCCGCAATCAATGAATTTTGTGAATCCTATGCATCCTGCATATTGGCATTGTTTTCTCAATGATAACATGCAGAATTCATAGGATTCACAAATTCAATTATCTACTAATTCGAAAACAGAAATAAAAAAAAATCAATCGTTTTAAAATAGAACTGAATTTACATAATAGTGCGGGTGTTACATTTGTCATGTCATTATTCCTTATACGTACGTATAATTATTTCCCCTGCTGTTGGAATGGCACATGACTTAAATTATGTTATAAATCATTGATTTGATTTAAAATCAACTTACATGATTTATCATAAATCATTACATAATCCTATTATTTGATGAATGCCCAATTGATTAATTTTTTTGATTCAGTTTATGTAATAATAATTTTAAATACAGTATACGGTAAGTTAACTAAGAAAATATACCTCGCGATAAGCCTATTACTGGCTCGGACAAGTATGGCCTTACCAAACGCGTATATATCGATTGTTAAGAGGATGTCATCTAAAGAATTATTTTATGAAATGTAAAAATTATAGAAGGTTTATTAATTTCAAAGGATTGGAGAAACTTTAAAAAACTATATTCTTTTTTTTTCATTTGGTAAATTTATAAAATTATTCAAATCTAATATACTTGTGCTCTTGTGTAATTATTATAAATAATTTAAGAAGTAGCTACATATTTATCCTCCAAGAAGACCCCTGTGCGTTGTAAAAAAAATTGGAAACCCAATTTTTGATTTATACCTTTATACTTAAGTATGGTAATATCATATTTAGGTACCTAGGTATGTAATGATAAAACATATTTTTATTCATCCTCTACACGAGTATCCCGAGCAAGGGAATAACGAGGTACTAGTGGCAGATAAATACGATAGTACGTAACTTTTGATTTGAATTTAGATTTTAAAACAAATATTTTAATAAAAAATTAAATTTTGCTTTTATATATTTTGCAATAGCAATACTTGGAATAATTTTTAATTTTTATAAAAAATTTTAAAATCAAGTAATTATATTTGAAAATGTAATATATAATTATATATTATAACTGTTTTATTTTGGTTTATTTGTTATTAGAAAATTTAAAGAATAATGTAAAGATATATCATCAAAAATTAATAAATTGCTAGATCATTGCTTTAAGTATATATTGAATATTTAAACATAATCAGTTGATAAAATCAAAATTATTTTAAATAAATTTTTAAGTATAATTTAATTTTCCTGACAAGTTCTTCAAATTTTGGACTTATTCACGATAAACATTGTATATTATACAATATATCTTGACAAAAAAAAGTCTCGACCTTCGTTTAAATTTTAATTTGTATCACTTATTTGTGTTTATTACGGATATTATTACTATATATGACTATTTATTCTTATCTTTATTTAGGTAACGGAAGTACTGATGTACATTATTAGGTTTGTTAAATATCACAACTGCGAGATAATGCATAAGATGCAGCCGTTAAAATAAAATTTTTGGAAAACGAAAAAGGGTGTATTGTGATAATAATTCTATAATTAAAATTTAATAGACAAAAAAGCGCCAAGTAGAATGTATCAGTGTATTGCGAGTAAGGAAAAATATTACCTGATAGAATTAAAAAAAATATCTGAGGTAGTTGAGTGAGAAGCATTATGAGTAAGGTGTTATGAGTAAAGTATTGAATGCGCAAAAGAGAATTAAAGGTATTAGAAAGTATGCAGAAAAAGGTGGGATTTATGTATCACCACATAGGGGTATCCCAGAGATAGGATATTTATGTCCTTATTTGTAGTACCATCGGAAGAATCTTGTTAAGCATTATCGTTATTATTTACTATTTCTAACTTAGCAACTGATTGCCTACACTTATTTCTTAATTAAGATATCGTTTAAAAAACGTGGTAGATAAATATTGTGATTATTGTCATTAAATTAGAAATGGCATGAAATGAATTATTAGTCCTATTGGAAGAATATAAAAAGAAATTAACCTTATCAGTGAATTCTGAGTGGTTCGTGCCTTGTAAGTGTATATTTTACATGTATATGTTGTACAGCACGTCAAGTTAAAGTTCTTGTTAGATAAAAATTTAAGAAAATTATATTCATAACACCGGTGTTATATAACACCGATATAGTCTGAGTTGGAGTTAGATTAGGGTGTGGATTTAAGATAAATAGAGGTTTTGATATAATATAATGTATATTAGATGTAAGGTCCCGATTTCAGTTCTCGTAAGATTTTTTGGGGTACTGAACACTATTACTTAGAGTACCCGATCCCGTTTACTTAGTACGTACGTTTTTGAGATATAGCATAACTGATAATGTGTTATATAACTGGTGTTGGTTTCATTAGGTTATAGTGAGGTCTATGTTAAGGTAGGGTAATAATGGCGTTATAATTATTTTTAATATAATGCATATATTAATAATTTAACGTTACAAACCAAGACTTCAATAGTGGTTTCTTATTTTACACCCTAATATATACTTGCTAGTGCTCGTATCGCACCTCATTGCATGATTGCCTCACATACATTATCTATTACTCTTATTCTGATAAGCACGTGTATTATTTATTCGTCTTATATCATTTACTGTAAGAATTAAACGTGCCGAGTATAAAGGATAGCTCTCCTCGATACAATATCGGCTTACAAAAGTATGACAATAAGAAATTTGCTGTATCACAAACTTGAAAGCGTTGTATATAGTCTATACTTTTGTGCTTAATGTTGATGTTGATGTTTATGCTTGCTCTTGCTTTTGCAAGATGGTAAAAAGCCACGATTGTACAAACTTTTTTATTTTTGCGTGCAGCTCATTATAGTATAATATACCTGGTTTTGTTATTTATCTCTTTTTCTTTTTTTCTTTGATTGTTTGTCGCCCTGATGAATTGATAATCACAGATCGTCAAAGGCCAAAATGAAAGATCATAGCGAAGAATTTGATGATCATTTCTCATTTAATTCTTGGTTTTACCCTTTAACATTTTTGATTGGATCAGATCCGAAAATGTGATCTGAAATCTGGAAAAACCAATTACAGAGCATTTTTTGTGAGTAACCAAGAATAATAAAATTACAACATTTTGGTCATAACCTTTATAACTCAATTCTGAGTTTGTGTGCTTTAGAAAAACTACATAGAGATATACATATCTTCAATTATTGCATTTCAATCATTTGAATTTAATGTCATCATTAATTGATTATCAATATGTAAAATCAGGACATGTATTTTTTTAATTGATTACTAACAAATTTGCAAATTAAAAATCATGTGCCATGTATAAATTACAACTTTAGTTGTTCCCTCAATGTAGAAACAACCAGAGCTACATCTTAAATAATTTCTTATATAGTATTACTTTGCTGTCACTTATAATTTTTAAAAATCAACTTACATGTGTTATTTTTACTATGTGTCTTTGATATTAGATTAGTAAGAATATTAATAAAATGCATTATCACATTCTATAATAATAAGTTTTGTAGCATAAATTTTACAATAATCTGTAACAGAATTTTTACAATAACTTAAATAATGATAGTTACAATACAAACTAATTCAACTCTGACTAAATACTATATTGTGTTACTAAAATAACAAGTTTTGTACAGATTTTTGCAATTAAAATTATAAAAATTCTAATACAAACCAATCTTAACTAATATGTTTTATATTAATAAGTAAGTTCTGTAACAGGATTTTTAACAATAACTTACAAAAACTAATTCAATCTTAACCACATACTGTAATTACTAAAATAGCAAGTGTTTTGTAACAAAATGTTTTATAGCAATAACTCAACCTTAACAGCATACTATATATATTGTAATATTAAGTATGTTTTTTTGTATTGAAATTTTTTACAGTAATATTACTGCAAGCAAATTTAACTTTAAATATATACTATAATCTTTGAAACAATAAGCAAGATCTATACCAATTTTTTATATCAACTCATATAGTAGTAGAAATCATAAAAATCCTAATATATGCAGTTATTATTAAAATAGTAAGTTCTATAATGCTTAAAAGAAAATCAATACAAACTAACTTAACCTTAACTACATACTATATATTACCAAAATAGCAGGTTTTGTTATAGTAACTTGGTAGAAATCATGCAATTTTAATTTACTAACTCAATCTTAACTATATACTGTATTTTATTAAAATAAATAAATTTTTTATCAGAATTTTTATAATAATTTACAATAGAGATTATAATAATTTAATACAAACTAACTTAATCTTAATTCAAACTAACCCAACTTTAATTATATTGCATTACCAGAATAGAAGACATGTTTTATATAGTAATTTACAATAAAAATTACAATAATTTTAATTCAAAACTAACTAAACTTTAAATATATTATATGTAACAGAATTTTTACAATAGCTTATAGAAGAAATCTTTATAACTTAATTTTAGATTTGTGTATTTAAAAGTTATAAGGTATAAATATTTATTAAATAATATTTAGAAGGGAAGAAGGTTAAAAAAATAAAATTTTATATATAATATCTAATTGTTATATATTAAAAACTAGAAGGAGTAAGCCTCTAATAAAAAAAAATCAGATAATAAATATCTATACTCTAATTAGTTTAAAGTATTTAAAATATGCAATTGCTTTATTTTTATTTATTCTAACTTAATATATTTATAAATCTAATAATAATATATATAAATCATTAATTTTAGATTTTTTGATATTTTTTTAGATAGTTTATTTAAATATAATCTGTAACACATTTTTTTTTTATAAATAATTCATTAAACAGCTTATCTGCCTTTTCTTTACTATAATTTATAGCATTTCTATATTTT